TCTCTGTTCTGTTCCATTGATCTATGTGTCTGTTTTTGTGCCAGTACCATATTGTCTTAACCATTACTGCTTTGTAATACAGCCTGAAGTTCTGAAATGTGATGCCTCCAGCTTTGGAGGCATTTTCAACATTACTTTGGCTATTCAGGGTCTTTTGTGCTTCCATACAAATTTTAGAATTGTTTGTTCTAGCTCCGTGAAGAATACTGGTGTTATTTTGATAGGGATTGCACTGAATATGTAGACCGCCTTGAGTAGTATTGACATTTCTTCAATTTCTTTCATAAGCTTTCTATAGTTTTCAGTGTATAAAAAAATCTTTTACCTATTTGGTTAGGTTTATTCCTGAGTATTTTACAGTTTTTGGGTACATTTGTAAATGGGATTAATTCCCTGATTTCTCTTTCTGCTGCTTCATTATTGGTGTATAGAAATGCAACCAGTTTCTGTACGTTGATTTGTATATCCTGTGACTTTGCTAAATTCATGGATCAGTTCTAGAAGTTTTTTGATGGATACTTGGGTTTTCCATGTAGAGTATCATGTCATCTGCAAAGAGTGAAAGTTTGACTTCTTCCTTGCCAATTTCGATGCCTTGTATTTCTTTGTGTTGTCTGATTGCTGAGGCTAGGATTTCCAACTCTATGTTGAATAATGGTGGTCAGAGTAGACATCCTGTTGTGTTCCTGATCTTAAGGGGAAAGTTCTCAGTTTTTCCCCATTGAGGATGATATTACCTGTGGGCTTTTCATAAATGGCTTTTATGATGTTTAGGTATGTTCCTTCTATGTTGACTTTCTTGAGGGTTTTTATTAAGAAAGGATGCTGTATTTTGTCAAGTGCTTTTTCTTCATCTCTTGAGGATATCATGTAGTTCTTATCCTTTCTCTTATTAATGTGATGTATCACATGATTGATTTGAGGATATTGAACCAGCCCTGCAGCCCTGGAATAAATCCTACTTGATCATGGTGAATAATTCTTTCAAAGTATTGTTGGATCCATTTGGCTAGTATCTTGTTGAGGATTTTTGCATCCATGTTCCTCAGGGAAATGGTCTGTAGTTCTCCTATTTAGTGCTATCTTTGTCTGGTTTTTGAATCAAGGTAATGCTGGCCTCATAGAAGGAGTTTGGAAGTTTTCCTTCCATTTCTATTGTTTGGAACAGCTTCAAAAAAATAGGTTTTAACTCTTCTGTAAATGTTGGCAGAATTCCCCTGGACTTCCCCTTGCCATTAAGCCCTGGACTCTTGTTTGTTGGGAGAGTTTTCACTACTGATTCAGTTTCTTTACTGGTTATGTGTCTGTTCAAATTTTCTATTTCTTCCTGTTTCAGTTGTTCTCCCCCTTTATCTTTCTCTCTGTGTCCTCTCTCTGCAAAAAATGGCTCCCCACCCTCCACAGCTTTTCTTTCCCCCAATTCACCTCTCTGCACTGTGTACCTGCCAAGTTCTGTGGCTCAAGTAATGCAGATTGTTGTGTTAATCCTCATCAATTTCTTACATGTTCAAAATGGTTTGGTGCTGATCTAGCTACTTTGCAGGGACGAGACAAGCTGAAGGTCCCCATACTCCTCCACTGGTGATCATTTCTAAGTGTTCACAATTGACATTGTATAAGAGGAAGGGGCAGGGCTCTGAGGCCTCTATTTACCCAAGGGTTATAGAGTGTGGCTTCTTCCAATGGGATGAAGTAGCACATGAAATTCAGGAGCTACCATTATAACCATTCTCCAAAGACCCAGCATCTCTGTTCCTACTTAGCTAGGCCTTAGTGGCTTCTCATATCTTTTGCCTTGGCATTTCCCTTATTAGGGATGTTTGATGTTATTGTAAAATACTGCTATTAAATTAGTTTTGAAAATGTTTAGATCTCAATTGTCAGGGAGTGGTCTCCCTGTTTGCAGGTGTCCTGGAACTATAGAGCCTAGGGAATATTTTTCTATGTACTATTTCTTTTTGTGTATTCAAGAGGAAAATTGCTTCTGTATATTTTCATTGAAGGGTTAGATTACACATAAATGTGTACAGAAAAAATGCTTTGAGTTTTAGACCTTACACTTTACATAACCAGTTTGGAAGAGTAATATTGGTGATAATGTCAAGTGCTTGCATTTATGTCACTCACTCACTGACAAGTATTTATTAAATGTATATTATGTGCTAGGCAATATTCTATATGCTGAAGATACATTAGTAAAATCCCGTCCTGTGAATATACTTTAATGGGGAGAGACAGTATATGTCATGGCAATGACTGTGGTCTTGAGTGTTTTTGAGATGTCTCGACATACTGCCTTATTAATACACACCCTGCAAGCCTGTAGGATAATGAGGGAAACTATTATTACCCAAATTTGTAAATATGAAATCAAAGATCAGATAGGTTATAGGACTTATCCAAGGTCACGTGGCTCATGTAAGGGACAGATGGCAGGACCTAATACATGCTACACCTGGGAGAAGTCAGGCACAGAGCCACAGATTGAGTTATCTACTAATAATTCCTTGGAAGAGACTTAACTGTGCAATAATATTCCATAGGCTGCAGGGGGTCTGCAGGGTGTGGTGAGAAGAGTGCTGGACTCAGAATCTTCTGGATAAAACCTCTAATGGGAACTGGGTGGATAACGGGAAAGGAATAGTTGTGCTAATACTTTTGTATTCACGTTCATTGACAAAATACGTCTATAGTCACTTCTTTCACTTATCTCCATGATCATGTGAGATAAGCAGAATTGTGGGCTTTTCTCCATTTGTCACATCTGTGAAAACTGAATCTCAGAGAAGTTAAGTGACTTGGCTAAGACTACATGGTTAACCAATGGCAGAATATGTCATGACAGAGAAGTGCCAAAGCCATATTTTCTGTGTGCATTTTCTCTTTGAAAATTCATCAGACTTTAGACTGTAGTACTCACAGGAATGAGATAATCCTAGGTATGTTATTTATAAACTCTGTGTGTGTTGGTCTAAAATAGTAGCAGTGGTCCCTTGTTGCAATGTCAGGTGCATTTCCTAAAACAGGCAGGCACACCACCTATACCCTCCCCATGGACTCAGCCTGGTTATTTGGGGGAATACCATGTCTTTTCATTCACCCACTTCTTTCAGGAGGACTTGCAAGCTGAAATTTATTGGGAGCCTGGCTTCCCTTATCTGAGCTAAGAAAGAGAAGAATAGGTTACAAGATAAATGCAAGGTAATCTTTACAAGTAATGGGATATTATTGATAGAGTCTACTCAGACTCAAGGCAGAATTTTGAAGTGGAGAATAATGGTCTTGTGGGTTCTTCCTTGTCCTTTTTACATACCAACTTAAAACATAATTTTTGGAATAGACAAGGTATACACAAAGGCTGTAAATGTGAAAGGTACAAAAGATTAGACAGTAAAATCAGAGACTTTTATTAGTAGAATATTGATTTTGGATCTTTAAAAAAATTTTTAGTTGACACACAACATTGCATTCATTTTAGGTGTACAACATAGTGATTCAGCATCTCTATATGTTATGCTTATCACAAGTATATCTACAGTCTGTCACCATACAGCACTATTCCCTGTGCTATATCTTTTATTCCTGTGAGTTACTTATTTTGTAATTGGAGGCCTGTATGTCCCATTCCCCTTCACCCATTTTGCTCATCTGCCTACTTCCCTCCTCTCTGACAACCATCACTTTGCTGTCTATAATTAGAGGTCTGATTGTGTTTTTTGTTTATTCATTTATTTTGTTTTTTAGATTCCACATATGAGTGTAATTACATGGTGTTTTACTCAGTCTGGCTTATTTCACTTACCATAATACCTCCTAGGTCCATCCATGTTGTTAGAAATGGCATGATCTCATCCTTTTTTATGGCTGTGTAATATCGCATTGTATACAATGAATTTTTTGTATACACACACGTGCATATATATATATATACACACACACACACACACACACGTGTGTGTGTGTATGGTGATGTGTGTGTGTGTACAGGTACTTTGTGTGTATACACACATAATCTTCTTTACCTGTTGGTGACTTATAAGCTGCTTCCATATCTTGATCATTATAAATAATGTAGCAATAAACATCAATTGAGCAATGCTCAATCAATGTGCATTTATCTTATCAAATTAGTGTTTTCATTTTGTTTGGGTAAATAACAAGTATTGGAATTCCTAGATCATGATACCTCTATTTTTAATTTCTTGGGGGAACCCTCCATAGTGTTTTACACTGAGGCTGCACCAATTTACATTCCCACCAACAGTGCCGGGGAATTCTTTTTTCTTAAAATAGGAGACTTTTTCTGATCCCCTTCCCCAGTCACCCAGTTCCCCTTGCCATAGGCAATATGTGCCTTTTCTCCACAATTTGGAATCACCCTTTCTGCTCCATTTCTTTCAGTTTGTTCACTAACTGTTCATGAAACCCAACTGTCTTCAAAGAGAAAAACTCATCCATCCATCCTAATCAGATAAAACAACTGATGTTAGGGTTTTAGTGGCTGATTATGTGGGATGCTTTGCACCTAGTGCTATAATTAATAGGGGTTTTCAATTCAAAGCATTTATTTAATGTACTAATTTTGAAAAGCATTATAAAAGTCATTTTTTTAACATTTATTTATTTTTGAGACAGAGACAGAGCATGAACGGGGGAGGGTCAGAGAGAGAGGAAGACACAGAATCCAAAACAGGCTCCTGGCTCCAAGCCGTCAGCACAGAGCCCGACGCGGGGCTCGAATTCATGGACCATGAGATCATGACCTGAGCCAAAGTCAGATGCTTAACCGACCGAGCCACCCAGGCGCCCCTAAAAGTCATTTTTAAAGGGTGAAGCTAGATAACTTTATATCCTTCTTGAGAAAGCAGTATAGAATTCATTAACCTAGGCTTTATTTTCCTCATCTATTAAATGGGAATGCTAATATAATATAGCATTGTTTATCCCATAAAATTTTTATGAGGATCAAGTTTAGATGATTAAAGAACTTAGCAAAGTACCTGGAACATATTAAGTCTCCGTGATCATCATTGTAATTATCATCATATAGTTGGTGTCTAGATGTGTCTATCGAATGGTTTCACTTGGCTCCTGTGTTCCTAGAAGCAGGCACAGTCTTCACATCATTGGTCAGGGCCCAGCATTCATCAGTTGTCCTTAAGGAAAAAAAAAAAAAACAAGTAGTGATGAAATGTCAAGATGTCCCTTGAAAGTAGACAGGAGTTGAATAGACACGACTTTGGGCTAGAAGACAAATGTAGATATGTACATCAGACTGTTTACACTCCTCTCTTCACAAAGTGTGACCGTTTCCACTGTAGAATCACATCTTGATACTTACTTTAAAAAGACTTCAAACCCAACCACAGTCCTATTCTCACAGAGCTCCTGGGCCAAGGGAGCAGGTGTTAGGAGCTATTTCTGAGCTCCACTGTCTGTGTGTGCAGCCACTTGGAGCCAAGGCCATCAAGGCCTGACTGACCTAGCAGTTCTGGTAGATAAGATTGCACTGATTTTTACTCTTCTGATATCAGAAAAAAACTCCAGCCAGCATGGGCAAAGGAAACATTGAAGGCACCTTCCTTGCTCCTTTTCTGATTTTCTCTTGACTTTCTGTATGTGCTATAAGCAGTATTGGACTAAAACATTCTTTTTCTTACTTTCTGAGAAGGAATTCTAATTATTCTGCAACCCTTGTACCTGGGGGCTGAGGTGGAGGATTTTATTGCTTTTTAATATCACTTTAATTGAGAAGCCATATCATGACTTAAATTATGGTTCTCATGTCTTCCATTTCCATTTTCAGCCCATAAAACGCTCAGTTAATAGCCAGAGATCATAGGTCTTCCTGAAAGAACAGGAGGAGCTGGCTTTGATAAAGGGGTGATTTCTCCAAGTTGAGGTGATCATCCAAATCTCATTACAAATATTTTTTTGAAAATACTTCATATGTCCTGAGAAAGAATATTTAATAAAGAAAACATACCTCTTCATGGGGGGAGTACGTATGGGTAGGTTATGAGTGAAGCAGGAGAGGTTAATACACGTGTGCTTAATAGCAGATTGCCTGATGATCTTACAGAGAATGTATATTTTGGGTAATTAGACACTCTGTATAAGACACAATGTGCAAATGGCTTCCAAGACATGTAAGATGTGTCCAAAAAATTTTCAAAAGGAAAACATTACCTTCACCACAACATATGGTAGGATGGTTTTACTGCCTCACAGATCCGCAGAATTGGGTAAATCATTAACATTAGATGATGGCACATTTTTGTCATTTGTTCATCTAGGACCCATTTTCATTTAGTTAGCTATTTAAAAATAGATGTTAAGGCCCTAAGGTGGGAGCCTGCTTTGCACAAACAGGAAATTGCAAGACGGCCAGTGTGGCTGGAAGATGATTAGAAGATGAAGTTAGAGAAGTAGCCTGGTGCCATGCCTGTGCAGGACAAGGGTTTAATTCTATGTGAGATGAGAAGCCATTGGTGGGCGGGAGGGGGGAGGTGATTACAGGATTTGGTATGAATTATGTTTTCAAATGACCACTGTCGTTGTTACTTTGGGAAGAAGTTTAGCATGGGTAAGAGTTGGTTCAGGGCTGACATAAGGAGAGCAGTTAATATGCTGTTCGGATTCAAATGAGAGATGGTACCCATGTTTGATGTGAGGAGGTTGTGTTGGGAGTCAGGAATGGTGAATGGGTCTCAAAACTACATTGTGTTTTAAGGTTCACTGAGTTGTTGGCAGGATGGGGAGAAGTCAAGGTTTCTATAGTCCTTTTAATTTTGTAATCTGTATATGGTCTTCCTGGTAACTGTATTTAAAGTATTTGAGTAACCACAGGTTTCATTTCCCGACAATATCAGAGACTGATAGTGTTTCTCAGAAATTTTTTCCTTCATGGCACTAACTGGTTCATTCTAAAGGTTTGCTTAATCAACCAAGAGAATTACAGTTACTTACATTAGGTTTTCTGCACACCATCAATTCCAATAATTCTGATTAAAGAAACAGAAGACTGGGCTGTTGTTGGAATTTTTTAAATGACTTTTTCCATCCTTGAGGAAGACTAAGAGTTCCATTTAAAAAAAAAGTATCACATGCTGTGATCTCTTGTGACTCAATTTTTAATTCACTACTTTATTTTTAAGGTTCACCCATAATGACATATACACCTAGAGTTCATTCATTTTCATTGCTGTATAACAATTTATTCATTTTCCTGGCAATGGTCATTTGAGTTGTATGCAGATTTTTGCTGTTAAAAACAATGCCGCTGTGATCATCTTTGTATATGCCTTCTGATGCATGTGGGCAAGAGTTTCTGAATGAATATGACTGGTGGTATAATTGCTAAGTCCTAGAATTTATTAAATAGTTCATCTTTAAAAGTATTCCCAAATTATTTTTCAAAAGCAGTTGTATTGCTGACTATTGTCAGCAGTGTTTAAGAGATAATTAAACACTTGTCACACTTGATTTTGTCAATATTATCAACCTTTGCCCATCTATTGGGAATACTACTTTTTTATGGATTTCTTGATTACTAATGAGGTTGATTATTGTATATTCACACAACATTTTATTTCTTCTTTTATGGAGTGCCAGTTAGTAAGTTTTGCCCATCTTTCTAGTGTGCTATTTTTAATCATTAATTTGGAGGAGCTCTTTAAATATAATGACTAGTCATTTTTGTAGCAAACACTTTTTCTCAGTTTGTAGTTTGATTTTCACATTCTTTTGTCTTTTGAGTAAGAGAATTTAATTTTAATGTAACCAGGTTTATACCTTTTTTTTAGTTTATTTAAAATCGAGTTAACATACAGTATGGTATTGGTTTCAGAAGTAGAACTCAATGATTCATCTCTTACATATGACACCCAGTGCTCATCCCAACAAGTGCCCTCCTTAATGCCCTTCACCCATTTGGCCCATCCCCCCATACCCACCTCTCCTCCAGCAATGCTCAGTTTGTTCTCTGTAATTAAGAGTATCTTGCAGCATGCCTCCCTTTTTGTCTTATTTTTCCTTCCCTTCCCCTGTGTTCATTGTTGTGTTTCTTAAATTCCACCTATAAGTGAAATATATTTATCTTTCTCTGACTGCCTTTAGATGACACCTCTTCCTAATTTGCACTAGGGCCTGATACAGACTGGTGAAAACTGTGTCCCTAGGCCACCCAAAAACTGCTTTTAAAGGGGAAGGCACAATGATGGCCATCCATCTACTGACTTCCAGTTCATGGCTTCAAGTAATGTAAGGCGAAAATTCTCACAGCAAACGGATTTATTGACATCTCATAATTTAGTGACTCACATAGCCCCTTCCAGGGATCTCTATGGCACTCTCTGAAGGAGTGCTTTGTGAACAGAAAGAATGGGAAGTGTATGGGGCTCAGGAGTGGCTGAGCTGGTTGAGCGTCTGACTTCAGCTCAGGTTATTTTGATGAGGTCCCAATAGTTCATTTTTGCTTTTGTTTCCCTTGCCTCTGGAGATGTGTTGAGTAAGAAGTTGCTGCGGCCGAGGTCAAAGAGGTTTTTGCCTTTTCTCCTCTCGGATTTTGATGGCTCCCTGTCTGACATTTACATCTTTCATCCATTTTGAGTTTATTTTTGTGTATGGTGTAAGAAAGTGGTCCAGTTTTCCCAGCACTATTTGCTGAAGAGATTCAGCTGGAATGCTGAATCTATTCCATTGGATATTCTTTCCTGCTTTGTCAAAGATTAGTTGGCCATACATTTGTGGGCCCATTTCTGGGTTCTCTATTCTGTTCCATTGATCTGAGTGTCTGTTTTTGTGCCAGTATGTTATTCTAAATTCTTATTCAGATATATTGTTAACCTGTTTTGAGCAATTCTCTGTGATCTCTTCTTTACCTTTATTTTGGGGAGAATTCCTCCGCCTTGTGATTTTGGCTAAGTTTCTGTCCTGTGTGTGTGTGTGTTTAATGTTTATTCATTTTTTGAGAGAGAGAGGAGAGGGGAGAGTGTCAGAGAGAGAGAATCTGAAGCAGGCTCCAGGCTCTGAGCTATCAGCAGAGAGCCCAACACAGGGCTCCAACTCATGAACCATGAGGTCATGATCTGAGCCCAAGTCAGACCCTTAACCAACTGAGCCATCCAGGCTCCCATCTTTTGTGTGTTTTAAAAGCTTGTTATGTGCCCTACACCTGAAAGTACTACTATATTAAAAAGGGGTCATACACTGTGCAGGGGCACGGCACCCCAGGAAGTGTTTGGTGTATGTTGTATACACTCTACTGTTGCATTTTGGCTGTTCCTATCCCACTGGTCAATCCTCTGCAGAGCTCCTCCTTGCTTATTGTGGTGGAGTGTTTCGATCATCGACTAGGTATGAGCCCTGGAAAAAAAAAGAGGGGGCCTGATCCCACAAAAAGAGAAAAAGGAAAGGGGAGAAAAGAAAACCAGAGAATCAAAAAACTATAAGTCTAATTCCAGAGAAAGAGAAAGGAAAATAAAGAATAAAAGATGGAGAAAGTATAGAATAAAAATTACTGATCAAAATATATATATATATGTGTGTGTATATACATATACACACATCTATATGTACATATACACATATATATATGTGTGTGAATTATAAAAAATCAGAAACTATGAGCCTGATTCCAAAAGAAAACAAGAGGAGGGAGGAAAGAAAAAAGAATTGTCTGTTGTTGCCTGGGGCTGGTGGCTGTGCTGGTTTGGAGGACAGTCTGGCTGCAGTAGGTCAGTCAGTCTTCCTCCAATAGATAAGTAGTTACCAGGCATAGAGGGGCGGGGTTTGGTGTAAGTAGGTCCCGCCTCCATTGGGAGCCACTGTGCTGCTCTCTGAAGTCCCACCATGTTGGTATAGGGGGAAATGGCACCAGCCCAATCTCTCCTCCTTGGACTGGGGATCTCAACCCACACTATTCAGGCAGTCTTCACAGAATAGCCAGGGTGGTCAGCTTGCCCTGAGTCCCAGTTCTCCCCAGACTTCCCCTTGGTGCTCAGCTGGGATTCAAAATCAGGTGTCTTAAAGGACCTGGCACCATGTAAATCTTCTTTCCTGCTCCAGAGTAGAGCCTCTGCTGAAAGGCCTTTGCCTTTGCTGAGACCTCCAAGTTTTAGCTCCTGAGGCTATTTGCAAAAAAGAACTGACACTC